GCCTTCATCACACTATTGTCTGTGTTTAGTGGCCATGTATATATATGTGTATGAGTTCTTTGGTTAATCTCTTCCCATCTCCTGAGCCCTTCCATGTGAGGTATGTCAGTCTGTTCAATGATCCATGCCTCTGGACCTATTTTGTTCATCAGTTTATTGTGTTCATTAGATTCTACATATAAGTGAGATCATGTGATATTTGTCTTTCTCTGGCTGGCTTATTTCAACCAGCATAACCTTCTCCAGGTCCACCCATGCTGTGGCAAAGGGTAAGAAATCCATCTTTTTTGCAGCTGCATAATATTCCATTGTGTAAATGTACTACAGCTTTTCAATCTACTCATCTACTGATGGGCATTTGGCCTGTTTCCAGATTTTGCTATTGTACATAATGCTGCTGTGAACATGGGGGTGCATATATTCTTTCTGATTGGTGTTTTGGGCTTCTTAGGATATATTCCTAGAAGCCTACAAGAGACCCACCTTAGAACAAGAGTCACACATACTGAAAGTGAAGGTATGGGGAAGAGTATTCTATGCAAATGGAAGTGAAAAGAAAAGGCTGGAGTAGCAATACTTATATCTGACAAAATAGACTTCAAGACAAAGGCCATAACAAGAGACAAAGAAGGTTGCTACATGATACTAAAGGAATCAATCCAACAAGAACACATAACCCTTGTTAGCATATATGCACCCAATATAAGAGCACCTAAATATATTTTCAAAAGCTCTTGATGGACTGTGAGGGAGAGAGAAGCAGCAATACAGTCATAGTAGGGGACTTTAACACCAACTGACATCACTGGATGGATCTTCCAGACAAAAATTTAACAAGGAAACAGTAGCGTTAAATGACACACTACATCAGTTGGATCTAATCAATATTTGAAGAACATTTCATCCAACAGTGACAGAATTTATATTCTTTTGTTGCAGTTTTTATACAATTCTGAGCTCTAGGTACAAAGAACACAGGCAGGAAAGGAAAAAAGCCAAAACAATATGAATACCAAGCAGGGCTTGAGAGTTCCTTTCATGACGAGGGAACTTTTCTTCCGGCTCTCCCTTCCAGATCAATGTTGCTGGCTCCCAGGAGAGGCAGGGTCTGCCGTCCTCCCCACCCCCCGCGAATGACAGAAATACGGCTGCTTCCCAGCCACACCCGCTCCCCCAGCTCAGCATGCGCTCCCCCGGCCGGCTTCCTAACTGCTCCAACTCCGATGGGCAGTGTCTTCCGTGCTTCCAACACCTTCGGGTACCTCTCCCAGCCCAGCTCCCTAGCAGCTACTGTACCCATTACCCACGGCACAAAACGTTCCACTGGTGGTTTCAAGATTTCTACAAAATAGATTCAAAACACTTTAATACTTTCTGAGGAAGCAGTACAGTGTATCACAGAAAACCTGTAACATTAATATTGCTGATATTATCCAGACAGGGGGCCGAATAGGAACCCAGCTGCAGCCAGTTATTCTGCATGGCGGCTGCCGGAGGGGACCTGCAGCCCGTCCATCCACTGGTCCCTCTCAAGAAAGGAAGCTGCTGAATTTCCCGTGTTTGCCTCATGCCCTGTTACACAACCTGGAAGAGTCACCGCACTTGAAAGCGATCTTTTCCAAGAAACAGCCTTCCCCTGAAATAGCACTGACCACTTCTACAGCAATAACAGGACCTGCATAGAGTGTGGTTTCCTTCTTTTCCCCACCCCCGAGCCCTGAGCGTGGAGCTGGATCTGAGGCCGGGAGCCAGCTGGACAGAGGGAGACTCCGTGAGTTGTTATGTGTTCAAGCTTCGCAAAGACAGAACCCAGCAAGGAACTCCCTTCCCCCATAGAGACAGGGGACAAGTGTGGAGTGGTCATGGCCCTCCTAGGCCTCCCTGCCAGGGAACTCCCTCCAGGGTCTGCTGCGGGTGCAGCTGGGAGATCAGGGGCTTGAACGTGCCAGGCTCACCCTCGTTCCTGTCTGAAGGTTAATGTTGTGGGCGATCAAAGCAAGCTGAGAAGGGAAGACGAAAGGCAGGAAGGTGGAAACCTTCCACACCAGTGCAAGGCTAGTTGACCTTTGGCAAATGAGAGTGTGTTCATATTTCCACAAGAACATGTCCATTTCACCAACTTATGACTCCAACTGGGCTGGGCAAACACGCTGGGATATGGTCACGGCTGTCATTCAGAGGGAAAGCTCAGAAATGGGGAACAGAAACCAAACATGGGGATCCCTTCTGGCCCACCCTTGGCTTTGGGAGGCAGAGCGGCTTCGGGCTGTGGCTGGCTCCCTCGGAAGCTCTGTGTGGCTTTCTGCTGCCTTGCTCTGCGTGGGGCTCCACCGTGAGAGACACAGGGAACAGTGCCAGACCCACCAGACCTGGTGCGAACCACGGAGCCACCCTGCACATCTCCGGACTGGTCTCCTGATCTAGAAAATGTTCATGGGGTGGGCAAGGATGACAGATGCCAGGCTTACAGCCCAGGGGCTGGGACGGGTTTGCCCTCCACAGTGATAGCTTGTGTTATTCCAGAGACTGTCTTTCTAAATTGTTTGCTTGGTGATTGAAACTTTGTTTCTTTTTAATAAAATCTTGATTTTAAAAATGCCTGAAGGTGCCTCTATTTTCTTTATTCAGGGGAACAGGGTGTGTGGTGAAGACAATATTTAGATAGTCAGCAGAGGCGTCGTGCTGACATTCATTGCCACGTTTCTTTCTCCTCCTTTCAACTTTCCTGCAATGTAAGAAAGGTTAGTTGAGGTAAAAGGAGAGTCATGAGACTCTAACAGCATCCATAGCTCCCCTATCACAGAACTGAAGAGTAAGATGAACATGGGCTGGATTTGAACTTTGGCCGGACTCAGTAGAACGAAGCTGGGACAGAAAAGAGAGGGTGACCCCTCCCTGGGGCTTCCTGAAGCTGCGGATCAGTAGGGGACCTGGTGGGACTGCAGGAAGGGTCACCTGTGGACCTGCTGCCCCGCGGGAGGAGCAGAGGTCCATAACCCTGGGGGACCCTCAGGCTCAGCGAGGTCACTCTCATGAGCCCTGAGAGGGCTGACCCTGGGATCCCTCACGAGGAGGAATTGAGGCCACCAGGCCTGGAAGTTCAGAGACCACAGGGAGCCTCATTCCCCAAAGAAGCAGAGGCGGGTCCTGTAGGCTCTGAGCAGGGGCAGAATGTTTGCCGATTGGGACAGAAACGAGCAGCGTTTCTGAATGAGGGGGGGACAGTGATGTCGCTCTGATAAATGTCCTTGCAGCCGAACTAGACTGACGTGATCGCTTCATCTTGATCCAAAACCCTCAGCGCCAGCTCTGTCCACGTAGTGACCCCAACGGGCACGTACTCGCCCGGCTGCCAAGGTGGATGGAGCGTGCAGGTTCGGGTGAGATGCCCCCTCCCCTGGAATGATGGGCTTTCTCAAGGGAGCCGGGGGCCAGGTGGGAGGTCCACGCAAGGTGCAGCATCAGCAACGCTCCTTCCCGCCCTCAGCTGCCTGGGTGCTGGGCCCACACGCCCACCGCCCACCCCCGTTAGACGGAGCCCGTTCCACAGAGCCCAGGCCTTCCTCCTGGCACCGTGCCCCTTTCAACAAGGCTCCTCTCAGGCAGAATGGAGACAGGCCCTGGACACGAGGGCTCTCGGCCTTGGGCCATGAATGTGGCTTGTTTGGGGAGGAGTCTTTGTCTTTCCCACTAGGAAATGGGATAATAATACCAGTCTCATTCAAGCATTCATTCATCTAATATGTAGTAAGCTCCTGTCACAGGACAACATTATTCTAGGTACTTGTGCGATGGAAATAAAAACACACAAGACCTGATGAGGCCCCATCCCCACCCTCACAGGTCTAATGGGCTTGAGAGACAGAAGTAAACGAGATGATTTAATGTACGCTGACTTGTCACGGGTGGTGACGGCCAAAGGTATTGTCTCGGGGTAACTGCACGTGCCTGTGGGAAACTGAGGGTCCCAACTGGCTTTCTGGGTCCAGAGACACCCGCGGGCGGGAGGAAGACTTGTGACTGCTGGAGGTGCTGTTCTGGAGGCTGGGCCAGCAGCAGAACCTGGTTTCAGTTCAAATGGAGGGTAATGTGAGCGTCTGTAAGGAGGCTGAGTTTTCAAAAGAGCAAGAGTTTCAGGTCTGAACTCCGCTCTCTCCTCAAAGCTGGGAACCTGGACCGTTCCCAGGGAGCTGTGGGGAGGGCTGTGGTGAGTGTCCGTGTACAGGTATGGAGGTGACATGGGCGAGCAGGGTGAGAGGTCAACAGCCCAGAGGCTGCGGGAGGCTCTGATTGGAGGAAGGGGCGCTGATCATGGAATTCCGAGGGGCGACCTCACTTCCTTGGTGACAGACCCTAACAGAAGCTAGAACTCTGGTAACCAGGGACCCCTCGCCAGGTCAGTTGACTGCAAACGGTCAAGAGAACAGGATGTATCGTTGCTGTTTCCCGACTCCCCGAAGCCCTGGGCTGAGGAAAGCCCAGAGTGCGGGGTGTTTCGGTCGCTGTAGACATTGGCGCAAACCTCGCCGTGGACGATTCTGGCCATTTGGCACGAGGCGCCCTCAGGTAACAGGGCAGCCCAGGGCCGGCTAATCCAGGCCAGACCCCAACTGTGACCCTACCTGGGCAGCCCCACGCCCCTCTCCCCTCATCCTGGTGAGTGTGTGGCGGGTGGAGAAGAAAAGTGTGGGATGAGGGGCACTCGTCCTGGGCAGGAGCAGGTCGTTAGGTGTCTGAAGTCGGGAGGGTCTGTCATGTTCTTTGCCCAGGTCACGGCTGGCAGGAAGGGAGGGTGAGTGCTGGGACCAAGTCCAACTACCCACTTGCTACTCAGGAGTCCTCACGGTGTCATCGTGTTCCCTCCCTGCCTGGAGGTCTTTGCAGAAGCCCCTTTGTGCCTGATCCCAGGGGGCAGAATTTGTGGTGGGCATCTCTCCCGTGAGAATGGCCAGGCAGGCCCCTGACGCCTCCTGGCCGGGACCCGGGCTGTGTCTTTGCAGAGGCCCGCCCCAGAGAGCGTGGAGGAGCTGACGGATGGGTTCACTAATGCCATCAACTGCTACAAGGGACAAGGGTACCAGGCCAGGATCACCGTCCAGTGCCGGTCTGAGGTGAGAGCTGGCTCAGAGGGTTCTCCACACCCATGAGCTTGACACAACTGGGGTGGCCCAGAACCCAGACCCAAATCTGGGGCCTCCCCCGGGGGCCTCCAAGGCTTTCCCCCTGGAGTGTGCACAGCCCAGCGCACAGAGGGACCTGGACCTCCACTACCCCGCCAGCCCTCTGGGAGGGTCGGGAGCCGCCCCACACTGGTAGGAAGCGCAGAGGGAGCCCGTGTTTCTCTGCCCCGAGACCACGAGCACGGTCCCGTTCGCTGTTTTGTTGTTGAACTGCCCGCCCCAGGTGTCCCTGCAGACCTGCTCCACGTCTCCACATCAGCACACGTATCACATGGTCTGTACACAGAAGGGGGAGGACAAGGTTAAGCTATTCCGGCCGTTTCTCTGCTACTTGTCATCGCAGACACCTGGGGCCCTGCCCCGTCAGGAGCTGTGGCTTCACTCGTGTCCATAATGTCCCATAAGGCAGGGGTCGGCCACAGCGATGCCCTTGCAGTGCCGCTGGACCTTGACTGTGGTGCAGTCCAGGGGCCGTGTCAGCAGTGCGGCCGGGAGCACTGAGCGCCTGTGGGAGTTTGCTCGGGCTGCCGTGACGGGGGCCCACACTGGCTGTGTGAACACAGAGGGTAGAAGGGGGAGGGGAGGGTGTCAGCAGGCTCCTTCCTCCCGAGGGCTGTCTCCTCGGCTCGTGGCTGGCGGCCGTCTTCTCTCTGTGTCACATGGACTCCCCTCTGCACGTCCATGTGTCCTCCTTTGCTCCTCAAAGGACACCAGTCCTATTGGGGGACCCACCACACGGAACTCACTTAAACTTAACTACTTCCTTAAAGACCATGAGCCCAAATACAGGCCTGTTCTGAAGTTCTGAGGGTTACCAAGTCATGCAATTCGGGTGACACAATTCAGCCTCCGACATACGCTGTCCCCAGGTGGGGATACCTGTTCAGGGAAAAGACTGTTCTTGGCAGGACGTGCACATGTCTGTCCTCACAGCTGCAGGCGGATCCACATCCAGAGGCTGTGGCAGTGAGGTCGCCAACAGCAGTCTCTGGTGGTGGCGATTGCCTCTGGGGTACCTGGACTGACTGTCAGCTTTTCACCAGCCACGTGGATTTGCTTTTTCCCGTTTCACCTGCTCAGATTTCTGCCTGGTGGATGGCTTTCTCCAGCCTGGAATCTCCAGGCATCAGCGTGGAATCTAGGATCTCTATAATGAGAGTCTCAAAATGCACTGTGATGTAAAAGGAGGAGAAATAAGTGTCTTTTTTGAAGTTAATATTTTTCATAGGCCATGTCTACCATGTATAGTCTCCAAACTGGGCAGTGACAAGGTTCCCAGACAAGGTCCATGTCGGGAGAGATGAGTCTCAGGTAGCCGAGAGGGAGCATCATGCAGGACAATTCTCAGTTCTGACCTGTATGACCTTGAGCAGCCATTTGACATCCTAAGCCTCTGGGTTCATATCTCCATAGTGGGGATGTCTGCTGAGGACTCATGGGGACAATGTCCTTTACACAAACTATTAATACAGGAGGTCTGATGTCCCTCACCTAAAAACACATCTTGGTTACAATTATATAAACATCCCCCACTCACCAAACTTCAATGTTTTTTTAAAACCTAGAACCTCACTGGGCATGGGCACCCCTGTCCCTCTTCTCACACATGTCCTGAGGGCTGGCAGTTCCAGGGTGAACTCCAGACCTCCATCCTCCTGGGTTCATGGTGATGTCGCTGACCTGATGTCCCTCCTTGTCCCACCCAGTGTGCTGCTGAGTTAACTCTTAACCTCCGTGAGGCCTGCAGGATGCGTGCCCTCCAGGAAGGCACACTGGAGAAGATGGTGGCGTCCATGGTACCAGCTTTCCCACGTGGAAAAATTCCCCACATCTCCACCTTCATGTCCATCCACCCGGCCTTCTCCAGAGCCCAGCTGTTCCTGGACCAGCTGTTAACTAGGTGAGCACACGCCCCCTGGTGGTGACTCTGTCCACTGCTAGCCGTGTGTCCTGAAAATGTCACATCTCTCTGAGCCTTGGTTTGCTCCTCTGAAAAGTGGGTGATAGAGGATAAACCTCATGGGGTTCTTGCAGGGACTATTGTGGGGACAAGCCATGACAGGTCTGACCTGCTCCCTGGCTCTGCAGAAAGGGCTGCTGGACGTGTGTGGCCGTTCTAGGCAATGACTTCTCTCTCCCCGTGAGAAGTGCCCTGACTCACCCATCGGCGGCCTGCGGCATCTGAGTTTGGAAAAGCACATGGGAAAATGACTGTCAAGCAGTTTGAAATTCCACCTGGCTGGTCCTTGTCCTGGTCCTTGGTTTGGCCAGATTAGGGATGTCTGGGGATGCAGGGGCCCCAGGCCCACTCAGATGTCCAGGTGGTTCTGGTTGGAGCTCACTGACTGGACAATGTGCATTGAGCTCCTACTGCCAGCAGGCACTTTGGAGACACTTAGCCTGACTCAGGGAACGAAGCAGACACAGTGCCCGGGCCTCAGTTCTAGTCAGCGAGTCAGACTGTCACACTAGACGTCATTCGCAGGTGCTGCCCACCATCCATCAGATCTGATGCCATCCAGGTGTTCTCTACATCTGGAAATATGCAGCCATATAATGACCAGGGTGACACACCGCAGGACCAATTGAAAAAGTGAGTGGTCTTTGGGTCCAGAAGGAGGCCTCCTGTGTCAACAGGATGAGGGGCTGCGGGCGGACAGGGGCTGGCAGAACCCTGATCTTACACGTCTGCTGATTCCCAAGGGAGGGCTGAGGTCTGGTGGCTTCCACTCCAGGAGGACAGGGTCAGAGAGCACTGTGGGTGGGCTTCGTGGCCTCTTATAACCAGAGAGGAGGCTAGGCTGAGCTGTCCCCAGGAGTCCCATCCCCACCACAGACCGTCCTGCTCTGCCTGCTTTCTCTGCACCCACTCCCCTGACCACCATCGCCAGGCCCAGAACAGGACGTGGGGAGCAGGCTGCTCACACCCTGTCTCAGTCCTCAGTCCAGGTGCCCAGTGCTCAGAGGGCTGGGTGGGCAGTGCACAGGCCTCCAGGACAGCTCTCGGGGGAAGAGGACACTCACACAGACTCCGTGTTAGTCTGCTGGGTCACCAGGCCTGCGACTCCCAGGACAGCCCCAGGGGCAGGGGATGGCATGGGGCTGACCCCTGGATGGGCCGGGCAGGCATACGGGCCCCGTCTGAAGCAGGGTGCCATGGGAGGGCCGTGCGGGAGGAAAGACCAGGACTCTGACCCCGCTGCCCTCCTGCCTCCCCCAGGGCCGTAGCTTCTGTGATGGGAGCCTGGCCGGACCAGATACAATATGTCGGCCAGCCCCTGCTTCTCCCCTGGTTCACCCTGAAGCAGGCCCTCGTGCAGGGCCACCTCCCTGCCTCACACCCGCTGGGCCACGTGCCCAGCCTCTGGGTGGAGCTGGAGCATCTGGAGCCCACGGAGGCAGAGCTGGAAGGTCAGGGGCCTGCAGTCTGGGAAGACGGGCGGGGTGGGTGGGCTCAGGGGCCGCAGTTCCCCTGGGGGCAGTGGCATCTTTCCGTCTCTGGGAGGGCACGGGAAAGCCAGGCCTGTGTGTGAACTGTCTCTTCAGCTGCTCCAGAGGCTCCCCCAGAGCCCCAGCGCGCTCCAGAGCCCGAGGAGGGACCTGCCCAGGGGCCCGTGCCCGGTCCCGCTGTGCCAGTGCTGGAGCCAGTGTCACCTCCCTCAGCCCCTGGGGGCCTGGGGCCAGCACCCGCCTCACCCTCCGCCCCAGGGCCGGCTCTCCAGCAGGAGCCTCCTGCACCACCAGCTCTGATCCGAGTGCCAACAACAGAGCCAGCTCCATGCCCAGCAGCGGACCACCCCCCGGCTGGGACCACTAAGCACCTGATAAAGGAGGAGAAGCGTAACATCCTGAGCTTCCCTCCAAGACTGGTGGCAGAGCAGCTGACAGTGATGGACGCGGTGAGCAGTGGGGCTCTCGGGGAGAGTGGGGGGCAGGCCTTCCCTCTGCCCTCAGCTGCCCCAACCTGCCTTTTCTGATCTGAACTCCCGTGATCTGGATCCAAACTGCAGCTCCCCCACCGACCATCCGTGGGTCCTGGGTAACTTTCTCAACCCCCAAGCCTCGCTGCCCACCTGTGGACAGTGGGGGTGGACACGCGCAGCACCAGCTGCTCAGAGTGGCTGCAGATTCCAGGAGGCAGATCAGACAGAAAGCTGGGCGGGTCCTGGCCCGGTAGGTGGGAGGGGAGCTCACTGCGTGCAGCCAGGGCCCTGGGGCGCCCATCCATGTGCCCATGAGGCTCAGCGGCCTCCACACTGATTAGGCACCTGATGTGTACTTTCCTACAAGGGAGACAAACATAGAGCCCAGGGCTGTAGCTGCCACAGGGCATGTGCCCTGAATGGGGATTTGAACCGGAGGGGTAATCAGGATGCCGGAAGATGCCCTCTTGGGGTGAATGGACTTGAGCCGCATCCTGGAATTTGGAGTCAGTGAGGATGGGCTGGAGGCAGATGCTCCTGTCCCTTCCCACCTGTCCTGGGCTCTGGCTCATCCAGTGCTGGGTCCCTTGGTGTATAGAGAATGAATCCCAGGACACCAAGGCTCAGGCCACATTCTCAGCTTCCTGAGCTTCAGTCTTTCCCAGCGACCCCTGCAGGGGGTTGGGGACACTGAGCTGGGTGTGGCAGGGTTGGGTAACCTCCCCTTTCTCCCTAGGAGCTATTCAAGAGGGTGCTGCCCCACCAGTGCCTGGGCTCCGTCTGGTCCCAGAAGGACAAGCCTGGCAATGAACACCTGGCCTCCACTGTCTGGGCCACCATCACGCAGTTCAGTGATGTGTCCACCTGTGTGATCACCACCTGCCTTGGGGACCCAAGCATGAGGGCCCAGGACAGGGCCAAAGTGGTGGAGCACTGGATCAAGGTGGCCAAGGTATGTTATGGGAGGCCCAGCGCAGTCCCTATGCGGAGCCTTGAGAAATGCCTCTGCTGCTCTGTCAGCTCTCGGGACTGAGGCCTGAGGCCGGAGCCCAGCACAGTTCCCAGGTCCTCTCTGCCAGGGGCCCGCTGACCTTGACTCTCAGGTCCCAGTGGTAGGAGGCTCACTTCCTCCCTGGCTCGTTCCTTGGGTTGAGCTAAGATCCTCCTCTCTGTGAGTGCTGGTCTTTGGGTGCTCACCATGCCCACCCTGAGCACCTGTCCCACCCAGGATGGGTGTCAATGGAGGGGACTGAGCTAGAGCTCCAGCTGCCACCTCACAGCCGTCGCTCCCCTCCCAGGAGTGCAGAGCCCTACGGAGCTTTTCCGCCCTGCACGCCATCCTGTCCGCTCTGCAGAGCCTGTCCGTCCACCGTCTGAAGAAGACGTGGGGGAAAGTTTCCAGGTGGGTAGGCCTCTCCCCAGAAGAGGATGGGTGGGGTGTCTCTCATATGCCTCCCAATGTCCCCTCAGGAGCTGGCACCTCCTGGGAGGTAGCCATCCCTGGGGACAAGGACTGGGCTGCTGGGCGGGGTCTCTAAGCCACCCTGGGACCTCAGGCCGCCAGTTCTGCTTCAGGAATCAGTTCCCCTAAGTGACAGAGACTGGATTGAGCCCCACTGGAGATTTTTACGTGTTTATAACACTAGAACCCCGGGCCCAGTTAAAACCGAAACTGGTCAAAACAGAGCTGCCCCATAGAAATGGGAATGGGGCCCAGGTGACCCACAGGAGAGCCCCGCCCAGGCCACGGAGACCTTCCTGCTGGGAGGAACCCAGTGAAACCCTCACCCCAGCGCCTTGAAACACTGGTCTGTCAATAGATTTTTGCCTTTAACAACCCCCCTCCCCCCGCTCATTCTTTGTAAACATGTCTCCCTCCTGCCCCGGCTCAGGAGGAGCTCGGCCACACTGAACACGCTGTGTAAGGAAGACAACTCCAGGGCCCGCGCGCAGCTCAGCGAGGTAGAGCGGAGGCTGGAGGTCTGGAGGGGGCCCTGGGCTGGATGTGGCTTCGATAGTTTGTCACTTAAAGATTCTCTGCAATGTTTGCCCTCTGTCCTGAGTAACAGGGAGAGGGCTCTGTTTGGCCCTTGGCAGGGGCAGCTCCAGGGCAGGACGTCCGGGCCTGGCCCACAGTGATGCTGGCTGGGCGGCTCCGGGACGGGTGCAGGGCTGGCACACTGAGCGGGTCTCTGGCTTCCATGCGGGCCCATCCCACTGGCACTTAGCTTCTTCCAGGCTGTTGGGTGAATGGGGTAGGTGGGCACCTTTCTTCCCAAACCAGCCCCGCCTGGCCTTGGAAGCCAGGCCCCTGTTGCTCCTCTGTCTTCACCACACCTCCAAGGGAAGCGCACCCTGCCTGCCCCAGGGATGGGCACTGCAGGGGACTCCCATGGGCCAGGGAACAAAGGGCTGCTTGGCCTCAGGTCCCACTTGCTGGACTGGAGACAGAGAGGTGAGGTGTGCCTTCTGTGACTTCCCACTGTGCCCCTGTGACTTCCCACTGTGCCTCTGTGACTTCCCACTGTGCCCCTGTGACTTCCCACTGTGCCTCCGTGACTTCCCACTGTGCCCCTGTGACTTCCCACTGTGCCCTGGAGCACTCGCTGCCAGTCAGTCAGTCAGTCAGTCAGTCAGTCAGTCAGAAAGGGGCAGGGGCAGGCCCCAGGCCCAGGGGCACACACCCAGAGGGCATTGCAGCGGGGAACGACCCAGAATCAAGCTTGCTGGAGTCAGAGTGGCACTGGTACCAACTGACTTGGGCCAGCTGTCCAGGGTCAGAGGTCAGGGGTGGTGGGGGAAACGGGGTGAGGAGGCATGGCCTCATGACCCTGTCCCGGACCCTGGCAGAAGCGGCCCTCCAGGTTTGCCACTCTGCTGCGGACCCTCCGGGGAACTCGGAAGAGGCCGCGCAAGAAGGTGAGTGAGCCTGTCTGGGCTCCAGGGTCAGAGGAGAGGGGCTCGGCCCTCCCGGCTGGAGGCCTCCAGGTCAGGAGAGGGAGGCCTCCCTCCTCCATCCACCTCCTGTTCCCACAGAGCCTGCAACCCTCCATTAGCAGGGACCTAGGGGGGGCCTAGAAGAGTTGGGTGCACCATGCCTGTGGGGGAGGGGCTGGGCTGGGGACCACAGGCCCTGTGATTGGCCAGCAGTAGGCCCTGGAGGTGATGAGGAGGAGTTCCTGGACAGTGATGGAAGGGGCCATTGAGGGGAGGCTCTAAGGGTCCCGGGCTGCTCCATGTGGGGTCCCTGGGGTGGGACAGGAGGTGAGGGTGGGAAGCTTTCAGGGGATTGTCCGTGGGGCCAGCTGAGAACAGGGGCTCATCCCACCCTCACCCTGATTGCCTAGTGTGTTCCCTTCCTTGGAAAATTTCTAACTGAACTGGAGAAGCTGGACACTACGTTGGAGGATTACCTGGAGGTAAGTGACCTGGGACCTGGGTTGGGTAACCACGATTGACATTTGGGGAGAGAGAAGCCCTGTACTGAGCCCCTAGTTCTCAGCACAGCTCCCCCATGGAGATGGGCCTCATGCCCTTTCTAGGGACCCATGTGCCCCTCCTCTGGAGCCCAGAGCTTGGCCTCTCCCCAAGTCCTGTCTGTTTGTGTTTCCCGCCCCCTCCTGGGACCTGGTGGTACTGCATCATGAGAAGGGGTGGGCATAGGGGCTTGTCAGGGCCAGGGGCTCTTCCTGATGGACTGGGACTGTCTGCCTTCCAGGGGAATCAGATCAACCTGGAGAAAAAGGAGAAGGTGAGCAGCTGGGGCACCTCCTGCGGGCAGGGGAGGGCAGTGAACACCCAGCACACTCCTGGGCTCCACCCCGCATCTTACACTCACTGGGAGAGTTTGATGACAGCAGAGGGAGACCCTCCAGGTGGTGGCTGGGTAGGGGGGTGGCATCAAGGAGCACTGCCTGGAGGAAGGGCTGGCGAAGCCCATCTCTGAGCACAGGTAGGGCCTCAAGGAATTAGGGGGAAGGGCGGTGCCCATGTGTGCAAAGACCCAGGACCTGTCCCCACGCCACTCCTCACCCCGCTCGGCCATGTCTGCACCCTCTCCTTCCCTCTGGCCCCAGGAACAGAGAGTCATGGAGAAGATAGTGCTGCTGCAGGAAGCTGCCAACCAGTATCAAATAGAGCCCGAGGAGCAATTCAGGGCCTGGTTCTGGGCCCTGGAGCGGCTCAGCGAGACAAAGAGGTGAGGCCGGCAGGAGCCGGGTGAGGGCAGGGGTGGACTCCCCTGGGCCAGGCCAGAGAACCTGTGTTCATGGCTCCCAGGTCAGCCCCCGCCCTTGTTGTGTTTCAACCCCTGGGGCACCCGACCCTGGGAGAGACACCTGAGAGATGGCTCCTGGGAGCTCACAGGTGCCCCTCTGTCCTGTAGTTACATCCTGTCCTGCCAGCTGGAGCCCGGGTCCTAGTTGGCCTGCAGAGCACTCCAGGCCAAGAACTGCTTTGAAGGATCTGAAGTTTATTCTGAGACTAAAGAAAGTCATTGAATGATTGACAGCAGAGGAGGAATGATTCTTAAAATGATCTCACTTTCATGGATTTGCCCTCATGGAGAACATATTTGGATACAAAAATTTCCTGTTATGGAAACTCTTAGGTTTTAGGTAAACTTTTATTAAATAAGGACAATACAAACTATTTTTCTATGAATAGAACACACACACACACACACACACAGTTTGTATCTTGAGACCAATTTCTTCGATTTTACAATAAGGAAATTAGCCTAGATTCTATTTTCCTTTTGCAAAATAAAAGTAGATATTTTAATATGAAATAATTCATGGTTATAGGTACAAAAAAGAAAGGTTTATGTAATAAGTGATCATACACATATTAAATTGGCAATAATAATACATATATATCTTTTCAGATATGCTAGTGACAGGTGTAAATATACACTTATCCATATTTGTAATCATTTTATGTTTTATTTCTATTTGATAATATATTGTACTTCAAATATTAAAATATTTCTGAAAAATAATATCTTCCAGTACCTTTTCTCCTGTTATGACATATATAATTTAGCTCTAATTAATAGATTTAAAATCATTTTGTTTTCTACTTTTTGAATAATTCTGTGATGATCATTATTGTATAATACCTCTGCACATTTATTTTTTAATTATTTTCCAAAAATGAAATTTCTGTTTCCAAAAATACGCACATTCTAAATTTTAGTATCTATGAATTTGGAATAATTTGATCAAGTTCCCTTGGAATTTTGATTGGGATCTCATCAAATTTGTAGATTGGGTTCAGAGGAATTCTCTCAGTAGCTCCTCTAACAGGTATGTATTGAGCGCCTCCTAGAGGCCAGGCTCTCAAAGCGTAGTCATCAACCCAAAGAGTTGGTAACAAGGGCTGACTTGCAGGAAAGAGTCAAAGCAGCCAGCACATACATAGCATGAAGCCGGGACTTGCTGGGTGCTCTGAACAAACGGTAAAGCAGACAGAGAGACAAAAGGTCACAAGGTAATGTTGTAGATAGAATGATGTGAAGGTTTGTGGGATCGAGGTGATAGTTGAGGCTGCTTTGGGACTATGCACAGATGACCAGCAAAAATATCAACATCCCAGCTGAGCCCCCATTCTGGCCTGTGACTCGGAAGTGTTCTCGGTGGCTCCTGATCTGAGAAAGTGTAGCCAGCCTCATTCTTTACAGAAATGAGGACAGAGGACCCAGCCTCTGGCCTCTCTGGACCCCTTACCATGAAATAATCTTTAATTGGGGTGCATATTCTTACTTTACTCTGTTGTTCTATTATATCCTCTTCCTGTAACGAACTGTAGGCAGCAAGTATTTCTGTTTCACTGACCCTTAGTTATCCAAGTGCAGTGCACATGGTGTTAATTCTATGTTCAAAATGGGCGTCCTGACCTGCAGCAGAGCCACCCACCTGTCCTCCCAGTATGTGGTCCAGCCCACCACATGGGGTCTCTTCCAGGCACCATCGACATCGCCCAGGAAACTACAACTGCTGGTGCTTCCCTTGAGATGTGGGGCATTTGCGTTGACTCTCCTATAAGCACCATCCCAGTCCCCAGCTCACTGTAAGAACTTGGCACTTCTATTTCCATCATGTTGCTCGTGCAGTGCATGGAGGATAAGAGGTCAAGGGGCTTAGAATCTGTAGGAAGGTCATTGTATGGTACTGAAGCAAGAACTATGACAAAGATAATGTGAAGGGGGTGCCGGTGATGCAAGTACTGAAATTATCAAAGAACGAGAGACCTCAGGGTTCGTGGATGACCGCAGCGCTGGTACAGTGTGAGAACAAAAGATTCAAAGCATCGGGAAGAAGAGACGGAGAATGGTCTTAGGCAGCGAGGAGGAGCCTACCTCCAGGCTCTGGGGCAGGAGGGCTTGTGGGTGTGGGAGTCACGGTTCAGCAGAAGAACAGCAGGTGCTATGACTGGAGGGCCGTGCAATGGTTCCTGGGTGGCTGAGAGCCAAAGTGGTCCAGGCTTCGACTGGCACCAGGGTCCCTGATGGAGGTACCATGCATTAGTTCAGTGATATGTCCCAGGTGCTGGCCTTAGACTTGGAATCTAACACATGCTCAGTCAGTGTCTGTGGAATGGTAGGGAACGTATGGTCCTCTGGCCCCGAAACTTGGATGAGGCAATTTCTCAGGACACTGTCCTTCCCAGAGTATCCTGGGGCCAAGCCAGGTGTCTGAATATTGTGCAGTCTGCACTGTGTCCAAGTGGGTAGGAGGAGGCCAGCTCTGAAGTGGGGGTCCATGTGGCAGACTGGAGGCAGGAGAGGAAAGCACATTACAAGCTACAGCTAGGGACAAGGCTGAAAGGGGCAAACAGGTTGGGTGGTAGGGAGACAAAGGGCTTAAAATGGGATTTAACACAAGGTCGTTGAGGATAGTTTTTATACATTGCACCTGTGCTCCTGGGGCCTGCAATGGGAAGTCTTAAATCCTGACAATGGTAAGTGCAACATGATGGATTGTGATAACTATGCACTTGATTTGGGGCACAAGCCCTTCTGCACGTGAATCAGTGGGCATCGCCTTCCTGAGCCCCTGGATGACTGCGGCTCTGCAGGCCCTGCACAGTCCCTCTTTCTGTTAAGAGTGAGCAGTATCACACAGAGTCTCAGCAGATCTTGGAGACATGGCAGGCCTCCCAGTGTGGGCTCCAAGTCAGCATTGCCCTGCTGAAGTTGAACAAATGTAGCCTTCTGGGGCCGGAGGTCCTGCAAGTATGAAATAGTTGTATAACAAGGGATCTGATATTGTATTTGTTGGTTTTTGTTTTCTCACAATTTTCTTCCCATATTTTGATCACATGAGTACTTGGGATATTAAATTACAATGCCATTTAGATGCACGTCAAGTATGAAATTAATATAGTAGAGTTGATATTCCACATGTTAGCTAAGTTTTGATGTTTGTGGAAGTTTCAAAATATAGCCACAAACTCTTTGGCATATCCATCTCAAGAGGTAGGGGCTCTGGCTCCTCCCTGTGAGGAGGGTGGTTGGTGACTGCTTCCACCATGAGGGGAGGGTACAGTGAGCTAAGTGACCGGCAGCTGGGTCATGAAAGGCCATACAGCTTCCACACTGGGCACTAGAATGAACGCTTGCTCTTGGCGCCGGGAGCTGCCACGCAAGACGTCCAGGTGCATGTCAGCACCGTGATGAAGCCTCACAGAGGTGCTCTGCTCTGCCACCCCAGTCCTCACATCATCCCAGCAGAAATGCCAGCGACCTGAGGGAAGAAGCCTCTAGATCAGGGGTTGGCCCACATTTTCTGGAGGGTCCAGACCGTGGGGCTTTGCAGGGCATATGAGCTCGGTCACAACTACTCAACTCTGCTGTCACAGCACAGAAGCAGCTATTGATGACATGCGCAGGAACAGCTGCGCACCCCTCAATCTTATTTGCACAGACAGGTGATGGGCCCGCAGGCCGTAGGTAGCTCACCCGGTTCAGATGATTCTAGTTTCTGGCCATTGAGCCTGAGATGCCAGCAGAGAGGGAAGAGCAAAGACAAACCATTGCCCGTGAGCCCTGTGCACATCTCTGACCCACAGAATCCATCAAGGTTTTGATGGTGTTTTGCCCCCACTATGTCTGGGGTGGTATGTTTCATAGCAATGGATATCAGCCCAGTTTTATACAAGGCAGTTTTATACAAGTGAGATTTGAGCAAAGACTTGAAGGAGAAGCGTTAACAAGAGGGTGTAGGTCTGGGGGAAAAGCACTCCAGGCAGAGGGACGATTGGTGCAAAGCCCTGCGGTGGGAGCTGGCCCGGTGCACACTAGCAATGGGGAGGGAACTGTAGAGCGGGCTCTGCTGAAGTGCCTGGGGACCCAGCCCCTCTCCGCACAGGCTGTAGGCCAGGCTTGACTGCAGGCTTCCCCACGACTGCGCAGACTGCCCGGGATTCCAGGGAGATGTGCCTGGTGAGCAGCTGTAGGGAGGGGCCTTCATGTCCCTATGCTGTGGGAGATGATGCAAAGCTGTTTTTCTTCCTGCTCCATGTTTCAGTTGGGCACAGGCCTGTCTGTATCCTTCCCTCCATGCCTCCTCCTCACCCCCAAGGACACAGCTGCAGGCTCAGTGCAAGTAAAACTGCTTGTAGTCTCGAATAGGCTGCTCAGCAGCAGCCGACCCATTGCTGTGTCTGTTCATCTGGCCCCATAGTCTGGTGTCTTCCTGTGGGACAGGGACAAAGGAGCTGACTCAGGCTGATTTGGCTTTCGCTGTCAGTGTAGAGATTGTCTGAGTGCATTCGGGCTGGGTGTCTCCTTACAGTCACCTCGACCTGAAGAGGCCAGGCTGCCTGGGGTCAAAGACTGCTTGACAAGAAACCAGCATAAATAAAAGTGGAGTGAGGAGGTAAGGCCAGAGAGAATGAGCCCAGGTCATGCAGGACCCCATGGGCCCCAGGGTGTCATTCATGAGAAGGCGGGGTTCTGAGAGTTGAACAGAGGAATGACATGATGTGGCTCATGTTGACAAAGTATTACTTTAAAATGCATTCCTCCAAAAATATTTCCTTTAAGAAAATAAGCGTAGGAGTGCCCATTATTGTTGTGATTCAGTATATATGGCTTGTATTTTTTTTAAATCCTCACCCAAGGATATACTTTAATTGATTTTAGAGAGAGGGGAAGGAAGAGAGAGAAAAACATCAATGTGAGACCGAAACATGGGCCCATTGCCTACCATATGCATCCCTGGGCCATACCCACAAATTGGGCACCTGCCCTTACAGGGAATAGAAACCTGATCCTTGTAGGGCAGATGCTCCAACCAACTGAGCCACAGGGGCCATGGCCTGACTTAGATTTCTTTATTAACTTTCATGCTGCCCCCTTGGCCCTGGGCCCAGGATCTCCTCTTTGCACTCCTGCTCTGTGCCTTTTTTTAGGGTTCATTTCTCCACTGGCTTCTAGGCTCTGCCTCGCCCTGGGGTGCAGAGGGCGCTCACTCCTCTATGTTGTGTGGCTCCGCACCTTTGGCTGGTGCCCCATGTTGTGGTGAGAGAACCGAGAGACCACCAGAGCCAAATGAAAGCCAAATA